TCATTGGTCTTCGGTCTGAGTAGGAACTGTTTCCTCAGTTCAGTGACTGTTGGAGGAACTGGAGAGCTGAATGAGTTCATTCATCATAGAATCATATATGCTGGTATTTTTGGCTCAATTAGGGTCGGAGCGACTGTCAGGCACATCTGAAAGTGAGTTTTGATTGATTAAAAAACAAAACAAAACAAAACAAAATAACTAGTTCAAAAGAATGATTCATTTGTGAACTGAACATCACTCCAGACAGAGGCTCTGGATTACAGGTAATAATCTTTCTTGCACAAACGAATTGTTTGGCTTCATAATATATCACCAGGAGCCACGAGAATTCATTTTGTCTTGCATGTATATGCTTTTTTAATTTTCAAAGTGCCACTGACTTAAAAGCTCTCGACTTCTGGAGAGCTGCAACCATGAAAGCTTGTGGAGGCTTGCTGCCAATGAGGTTTGTTGTTGTTGCAACAGCAGTTTTTGTGCTCCTAATGGTTCTTGGATTGACAGTCATTGTAAGAGAAGCCACACTGCAGGACTCAAAACTTCTGTCACTAGCAGAATCTCATTGGAGGTAAAATTTGATCGCAGTGGTCATTAATCGACTGTCTGTGAACATGTCAAATTAGTGACCAAAGACTACAGATTTTGGCCTAGGATCAGAGAACACTTTTAGGATTAGCAAAAATTTGCCTCACATGGCCAAATCGCGGCCAAAATCATACAGTGTGCACCTCGCTTTAGGTATCTTGATTCTGCATGTTTTACTGACTGAGAAACAACTTCAGATGACTGAATGAGATGAGCATCTGAACAAATGTGAATCTGTTTTGTAATTGCATTTTCACTGAATTTCCAATTCACTGAAAAAAAAAAAACACTCAGGAGAATGATTAATTTGTGAATGAGTGGCATGGCTGGTTTAGTCAAATACTGGACACGCATGATAACTACTGAAATATTTGTATGAAGAATGTATATATTTGTATAAATATATATATATATATATATATATATATATAACAGTATTTTGAAATGCATTTTATTTTCGCCCAAATTCTGTGTTTTCCATTTAAATTTTTCTGGATTCTGTGTTTTATAATTCAATACTAGTGCTGTCAATCAATAAAAATAAAAAAAACTAACTAATCGCACATTTCCCCCCTGAAATTAATCGCGATTAATCGTGATTAATCCCACCTAACATTACAATTTTTAAATATACTTTTATACTGCAATAATTTCACATCCAATCTTCAAATTAATGTAGAAACAACATAAAGACAGTATATTTTTTCATATTATATTTTTTGTTTAATGGCATCTTTTTTATGACTTGCGGCGAGGATCACTGTTACCAATACTACTGATGTCTCTATGAATTTTTTCCCCCTAATATTTAACTATTGACTATAGCCATTCAACATTCAATTTTAACATTTATTGGACTTTGTAAAATAACAGCTGCTAATTTAAGTGAACTTAAAATAATCTTCACATAAACCCATTATAATAAATGTCATATTTAGTAACCGGTGCCCTTCAGCAAGTAAATGGCAATGGCAAGTTTATTTGTATAGAACAATTAAAACAACACAAATTGACCAATGTGCTTTACAAAGTCACACAGGAAAACATGCATCACACAGGCAACACTTATTATAAAATTATCACTGATTAAAAGCTATTGAAAACAGGTGTGTTTTGAGTTGTACTTTAAAATCCTGTACAGTAACAGCGTCTCTAATATATTTAGGCAGACTGTTCCAAAATGTAGGCGCTGCTACAGCAAAGGCGTGATCTCCTTTTTGACTCAGATGTGCCCTTGGAATTTAACTTCCGAGTCACTGATCTCAAAGTTTGTCCAGTCAGATATTCAATTAGGAGATCTGAGAGATAGGCCAGTGCAAGTCCATGCAAGGATTTATACACCAATAACAGAAGTTTAAAATCAATCCTGTAATAAACTGGAAGCCAATGCAGGGAGACCAGGGTAGGAGTAATATGTTCGCATTTAAAATAAAACAATTAAGAGTCTAGCAGCAGAGTTTTTAACTTTTTGCAAATGAGAAATAGATGCCTGACTAATTCCCTTATATAACGCATTGCAATAGTCAAGTCTTTATGGTAACAAAGCATGGATCGCAATTTCAAGGCCTTTAAACGTCAAACATAATTTAATCTTCGCTAGATTACATAAGTGAAAGAAACTTTACTTTACAACAGAATTGATCTGTTTGTACAGCTTTAGAGAGCTGTCAATATACACACATAAGTTTCGAACACATGTTTTGACGTGAGGTGACAAAGAGCTAAAAATTAGCTGTGCTGTACCCCTGGCCCCACTAGAACCGAAACCTATAATCTGTCTTATTTTCATTTAGAAGAAAAAAAATTAGAAACCAACCATGTTTTAAGACCTGAAAGACAGGCCATAAGGGGTTCTAAACCATTTTCATGTGACAGTGACAAAAACACTGCGTACGTCATCAACGTAGCAATGAAAAGCAATATCATATTTCTTGAAAATATTTACCAAAGGAATCATATAAAGAGAGAATAAAATAGGAGCAAGGATGGAGCCTTGAGGCACACCATATATGATCGGTGCTGATCTAGATGAACAGGCCCTAAAATTCACTACCATGCTTCTAACTGTAAACCATTTCAGGACCTTCTACTATTGTATACTAAAATGTATTGTATATATTTTAGTATACAATAGTAATCTATTTAATAATTTCCTAAAGTTAAACCAAACTCTTATTTTGTTGGTTTGAGGTAAAGATCTGTGAATTTCAGTGTGTATTTAACTGTAGTTTTTTTCTCAAATTAAACCATGTAAAGCTGGAGAAGTGACTCTCAGAGCAGCTCTGGAGATGAAGTTCACATGTTAATTTCTCATATATTGAGACGCAGATGCTAAAAGCACTTTGAGCGTCACGTGTTTAAGTTTGTGTGTCAGACAAAACCACTTAGACACATGCACTGTTGCATTTATTTTTGCTGTGGGATCGGTTGTTAGATGAATCCATAGAGTAAAAATGTCCAGAGCTTATCATCATTAATGATGTCTCATCTCAATATATCCTTTATCACCCAGCCCTATTCTCAGATCATTCTGGACTCTCTATGCCACTGGTCCCCAACCTGTCCCTAATGAGCCTATGAGCCACTTTGGGTAAATTGTACGTTATTTCAACCAGAGGAAAAGACAGACATCATTAAATCCACATACAAAGGAATTTCTACTAATAGCAATAGGCAATAACAGGCCATCCCAATATGTAAAAAAAGATACGCTGCAATGCTTGCGTTTGAATGAATGGATTTTGACTGAATGCAAATATAAAGAAGTACTGTAGGCATCGTTTTATCCAAGAGTATTTAAAATAGCTATTTTTGACATCTCTTCTTACAGTATATGCAGACTGCTGTGAAGTAACAGTGTGAGGCATGCTGAAGGTGTGTGGGTGTGTTTTACTGTCTGCATGGCTTCATGTGTGTGAGCATGTGAGGAGAGGAGGAGGATGCGGCTGCCATGGTAACGAGGGCTGTGTATGGAAGACAGCAGCCAGTCGCAGGCAGCCACAGAAAGATCTATCCTTTTTTCTTCATTCCACTTCCACTTTTCCGATATAGAAAACGATCTCCGGAGCAGGCGTTTGATCGCGCTTCTGTCCCTCCTGCCTGCCGTTTCAAACGCTTCACCTCACAACACTCTCATCAGACGCAGGAAACGCACACACTTCCAGGATGGCAACCATCACCTGCACGCGCTTTACAGAGGAATACCAGCTGTTTGAGGAACTGGGAAAGTAAGTTCAAATAGCTGCATTTCTTTAAACCGATGTGAAGGTATGTTTAAGCTGCACAATGGCCCGAGATTATTTCCATTCCAATGCAATGCTTTTTTAACATATCAGCTAATGTTAAGAGTGTTAACTGTTAGACAGCTTTTCCATTAAAGAACAACGTAGCTGGAAAAAAATCCCCGATAGACAGAAACGCAAATTCACTTTGAGTTTCATTTGAAACTGGTTGCGAGGCAAATCTGGTAGTCATTGGTTTTGAATGTAGCATATTATGAAATCACTGGAATCAGAATATGTAGAAATGATCAGTATGTACCAACTTGACAATACATATAACGCATCTTGCATTACATAACAAGCAGACACTGGGTGGAGGAGATCCACAGAGGAAATTACTTAAAAGTTCTGCGGCGAAATCTGAAGATTGATTCCAACATTATGCCATTAACGGTGCATTAAAACAATCTCATGCTTTCAGAGCGATAAAAAAATAAAATCACAATGTGAAGTGTTAGCACAATCATGTTGTAATTTAAATATAGTCATAGCTTAGTTTGCAGACAACAACCCAAATGGGTTTTGCCAAATTCTCTATGTATGTATGTATATATATATATATATGCATCACAAGACACCTTACAGTACAATACAATGAAATGAGCCAGCTTGTAATTACATTCATGAACATTATTGAGTGTAATTTAGATACCTGTACGTTGATGCATATAGTGCCAGTAACAATGCTGTGAAATGTTGAGGCAGAAGTACAAAAAAATGCTTGCTTCCCTCTTTCCATCCACCCACTCTGTACTATAGCATTTTTTTTCCTGAGCGAGTGCACTGTATACTTGTTTTCTTGATGTGAGAGCATGTAACACCTCTACAGAGATGGGTCTTCAACTCCATCTGGCCTTGTGCCCACTGCTCTACTCCCACACACACCCTCATACTGAACACACACACACGTCTTTTTCTATGGGCAGTCAAACCGCTTACATAATTGCATTTGTGGGTGGCAATTCAATTCAGACATCGAAATATTGCATAATCCAATATATTACCGCCTGCCTAGCAGGTAAACCTGTGTCGTTTTCTTGAAGTTTACATTCACAGTGCAATGCTACACTGAATGTTCAACATACAGACGCTGCTTCCATGTTCTTCTGATTTTTAGGGGAGCCTTTTCTGTGGTGCGGAGATGTGTGAAAGTTCTCTCAGGACAAGAGTATGCTGCTAAGATCATCAACACAAAGAAGCTGTCTACTCGGGGTAGGTGCACAGATCAGTCCAACAAACAGTTAAAATGCTATAACACCATCAAGGTTCGGGATTGTAAGAAATCAGCAGTGGACTAAATTTATAGTTGATTTATTGCCAGTCTATAGATTATCTGTAGTTTTTGTTTGTAGGCTCATTTCGTCTATAAAGGACAAATAACAATGTTACTTTAAAATGTTACTTTAACAATAACAATGTTACTAACCCTAACCCTAAGACCAAGTCAGACATCATTTTTACCTTAAAACAATCACTCACTCTCATTTGTGACAAATACATGGGCACTTTTAGATATGACATTCACTTATGACGACTAGTGAATGCTGTGTTGAGGACAAGTGCAAACTCAGTATTAAACCCCTAAGTGCCCAAATACAGCCGTCATGCCATTATTAACATCTGACATGTTAGATTATATAAGCAGGAACTGTCAGGGATGAGGCTGATTTTTTTTTCATTTTTCGTCAGTTTAATCATAGTGAATGTTAAAAATGTGTCGTTTTTGCAACGTGGGTCTAAATGCTGTTTCATTTCTTATTGTGATTGGAAAATAAGTTGCAAATAACAGAACTGGAGGGTTCATATGAAAAAAAACAAAAACAAATATACAACCGAATTATGGACTGAACATCCTGGAGTACTATATATGCATTTGTCATTTTTTTATTTTATTTTTAAAATAAATTTTCATTACAAATGGTGATTGTTATATGATTGTCAGCTGAAAAAGGAAGGCTTTTTTTCCTGGAAGCTGATATTGTAAATGATGAACGTCAAGTAGAGCAGTAGGAGGCAGTGATATACCCTGAAGGCAGCCGCACACCTCCTACACCGTGTTGCCAAGCACACATCATGTTATATGCTTCAAATAGTAGCTACTGTACTTGCATTGTTGTTTTAATGGGTTTTTAGACAATGCAGTGTGCATGCGATCCATCATCACAGCTAACAGTTTTTCTATCGGTCTCCAACAGCAAACCAATTCAAACACATTACATGTATTTTTATTACTTCATAATAGTAATGCACATTCTGAGAGAAGACATTCTATTCTATTCTAATAGATCAGTTTCTGTGTGTGTGAAAACAGAGGAAGTAACATTTGGTGAGAAAATAATGTGAGATTTCCAGAAGAGGGAAAGACAAACCATTCTTCTTTTGTTTTTCTGTTCAGTACATGGCAGTGGTGGCTAAAGATATTGGCATCCTTGCACTTTTTTTTTCAAATAATACACAATTTCTTCCAAAAACAATGTTGGAATAAAAACTGAATTTGTTATTCATATATGTATGTGTGCAGTTGAACAAAGCAAAATTAGTTAATTCCACAGAGAAATCCTAAAATGGCATGGTCAATATTATTCACACCTTCTAGAGATAGTTAAAAAATAATTAGATTTCACACAAGTTTTTGTATTTATTTATTTATTTACTTTGCAACTGAACTTTCTTGGCTAGATGAAAGTGCCTGCAGTATAATAATCATGCATTCAACCAGTTTGAAACGAGAAAATTACTCATTCTCCTGTTTGTGTTACAATGAACATGAACAAAAGAAAGAAAAGCATAGAACTATCTGAAGTCATGCACAAGATTATAGCCAAGCACGGACAATCTCATCGCTACCAGTGCATCTCCAGAGACCTCAATGTTTCACTTTCCACCATACTTAAAATTAGCAAGACGTTTAGGGCCCATGGCATTGTAGCCAATAGCACTGGACGTAGCCACATAAGAAAACTTGATAGAAGATTGAGGTGAAGGATTGTTCGAATGGTGGAGAAAGCACTTCTGTCAGCTGCCACCAGATTCAAGATACCCTTCAGACACAAGGTATGACAGTTTCTTGCACCAGCACACTCGCCCATCAACTTGCATCATCCATCAACAACTCAAAGAAAGGGAGTTATGTGGTAAGAGAAATCCATGAGGACCCCACTGACTGACATAAGACAGCCCGACTGCAATTTGCCAGAACATGCCAAAATACTTACGGAAGAATGTCCTGAGGGCAGATGGGTAAACCACACCACCTCTATATTTACAGAAAACCAAATTAAGCCTTCTAACAAAAAGAACAACTTCCCTACAGTCAAACATGGAGGTGGTTCAGTGATGTTTTGTGGTTGCTTTGTTGCCTCTGGCACTGGGTGCCTTCAACGTGTGCAGGGCTTGAATTTTCGGCACGGGGTTATTGTGGGAAAATGAAGTCTACTCATTCCCACAGGTTCGGCGCTTATTACACGGGAAATTCCTGCAAACATTTCAGCATGAAAGATGATCGGGACAGATGACAGAATGTATAATTTCCACGTGTTTTTAAGTCTTGACAATTTAAACATTCAAGCACAAGAAGATGCGAAAGAGAACTCAATACAGGCAATACAGTACTCGCAGGCTCTCTGAGAGACTGATTTCTGTGCAGTTAGTTAAACTGCACAACTTATTTTAAAGTTGAATACATTTCTGTACTTCTGTACCTGATTATTAGTGTTAGGCCTACCTGAAAAACTTAAAGCAGTGTTAATTTAATTTTTATTTGAGCTTTTGCTTGTCATTTATTTGTTCTTATTTTATTACTGACTGTTTACTTGTCTTTTTTAGTTTAAATAAATTCAATTCAGAGTTTGAAATCAAAGTTTTCCCAAAAATGAAATTCAGGCCCTGGTGTGCATGGCATCATGAATCAAGTGGATAAGGTATTTTGGTGCACATGTCGGAAAAAGTTTCAGAAAGCTGGGTCTCCATCAAAAGTCACAAATCTTATAATATGTTTTAGATGATCCTAAATGCACTTCAAAAAGCACCCAGGCAGACAAAATTCTGGACTGTTCATCTGCAGTGGCCAACAATGAGAAAACTGCAGTTATGGGAAGGCACCAATCTAATATTGGAGAACATGAGCGGTTTGCACAAGAGGAGTGGGTCAAACTTACAGTACAGAGATGCAGAAAGCTCGTTGATGGTTTTAGGAAGTGCTTGATTGTATGTAAATTGCTGTTGTATCAAATATTAAGTCTACAGTGTGAATCATTTTCTCAATGCCATTTTTAATTTAAATAGATATATTAAGTTCTGAATCAAAAACAAAGGTCCTGTAATACTGACAGTGAAATAAAAAGTTGGAGAGCAAATATTTGGTCAAATTTCAAATAAGTTTAAGGTCAAAATATGGGTTATTGGGAAAAAAGTGCAAGGGTGCCAATATTTTTGGACACAACAGAATGAGTACAATTTTGTGAAATTAGAGAGGCTTAAATCACAGATTTTACATAAAAGCACATAGGCAATGAAATTCTGAGCACAATGAGTGTCAGTAATGTGGCCAACATAAAGTATTTGGCTGACTGAAAGTGTTGGATCACTGTAACTGGATCTCATGGGGAAGCCTGGGCAGTTGCTGCAGTGGTTAGTGAAGATAAACCAGTCCTCGAAGTTGCCTGCCAGGGATTTTATGACAAGTTAAGATGTAACTCTTCCTCTCTCACGTACCCTATCTAACCACTTATAGTACTGTAAAACTCGTTCATACAGTGAAATAAAAAGTTGGAGAGCAAATATTTGGTCAAATTTCAAATAATTTAAAGATAAAAATATGGGTTATTGGGAAAAAAGTGCAAGGGTGCCAATATTTTTGGACACAACAGAAAGAGTAAAATTTTGTGAAATTAGAGAGGCTTAAATCACAGATTTTACATAAAAGCACATAGGCGATGAAATTCTGACCACAATGAGTGTCAGTAATGTGGCCAACATAAAGTATTTGGCTGACTGAAAGTGTTGGATCACTGTAACTGGATATCATGGGGAAGCCTGGGCAGTTGCTGCAGTGGTTAGTGAAGGTAAACCAGTCCTCGATGATGACTACCCGGGATTTTATATGATAAGTTAGAGTAGTTCACTTTCAGAATGAAAATTCTATCATTTACTCACTCCCCACTTGTTCCAAACCTGTATGAGTTTTTTTCTTCTGTTGAACACAAAAGAAGATATTTTGAAAAAATGTTGGGATCCGAACAGTTACGAACTTATTTGTAATGCACTCTTATTAGAAAGCATCAGCTACATGAATAAATGTAGTGAGAAGTACATATGTGTCAGAGGAAAGGTGCCATCTACCTGAGATCACACTTCAGATAACAAATCAAACCATTTGGGTGTTTTTTGTTTAAATTTAAATACAAAAGAAGAAGAATTGACTCCAGACCATTGAATTAGTGGGGAATTATTTACTCTCTGCTTCGTGGTTCTTTTACCACCTTCGGGGGTGCATTATTTTTCAATAATTTAAAGGTCCAGAGTCCTTATTCTGCTTATGGTTACCACACCCCTCAAGACACATGTCTTATTTCAGGTTTTAGTAATTAAAATGGTATTTTGTGTATCTTCAGTGGAAGAGAAAGCAGGAGAAAAAATGAGTGCTTGACCTAGTGTGTAAAATTCAAAGCCTGTCATTTAAAAAAAAAAATCCACATCAAATTCAAAATGGTCAACTTGTCAGGTTAAGCTATTGACTGTAATTCAGTTGTCTAGCTTGATGAGAACAATATACGTACTGAGTTTGGGGACTAATTAAAACTTAGTCACAAGGGGTGCTACAGAGAATACCACCCTTCTCTCGCCACGTCCATTTCTTAACTTTAACACTGCATCCTAACGCAACGCTGCGACACGCGATAAGGTTTTGTCCTAACCAGCAGCGACATGCGGCGAGTGACAAGGGATTCTATTTTAGAAATGGTTTCTATTTCTGCGATGTCGTGTCTAGAACTTCAACATATAAACTGACAATGATATTCTCAGGTACTGATTACGTGCTTTATTCAATGTTAAAACACATTTAAGGAAACAAAAATGTTTAAAATGTCAACTCTATCTGAACAAACAAGTGTATTCTATGAAAAAGATTGTATCAGTCACTCAGTATGTATTTTTAAGAATGCTAAAATGGTTTAAAAATGGTTTAAAAATGGACTGGAAAAGTCACTTTA